ATTCGTGCTTTTTCATTTATCAGATACAGTGGATCACCAGAAGGACATCAGAAAAGACAACAATGCTAGGAAGAATGGAAGGCAGTAGGAAAAAAGGAGGACCTCACTTAAGATGGATTGATTCTAAAAAAGGAAGCCATGGCCTTTCGTTTGCAAGAGCTGAACAGGGCTGTGAATAATAGGATCTTTGGGGCATCATTAATTCATTGTGTGGCCATAAGCTGGATGCAACTTGATGGCATATAAGAAAATGGTAAAACATGTTTCGGCAAGAAACAGCATAACAAAATAAAAGCAAAAACAAAACAAAACAAAACAGAGGTAACTTGGCACCTTTAAGACTAAACATTTCTATCAGTGTGAGCTTCCCTGGATTGCAATCCACTTCTTTAGAAAGAAGCTCATCTGTACCCTGTTTTTTTTTTTTGGGTGGGGGTTATGTTTTGTTTTATGGTTCTGCATGAACGCTCCTTCCCTCTGCATGTTTATGGAACTCCCCAAAAAAAACATGAGTAAGGGTTGTAATTCCCTCTCTGCTGCTGAGAACAGATTTTTATAAAATAGCAAAGCTGTGAAAGGTTTTGAACACCCTAATTCCCAGAATCCCCCAGCCAGCATGTCTAGTTCGAGTTGTGGTCCCTGTTTTTTTTCACATTTCCAAATTCCAACAAGTAAACAGTTAAATGCGAGAGTATAAGAAGAAGTAAGAGAAAAACAGAAAGCAGACCTTAGGGAAATTCAAGAAGGGTTAAGGCTTAAATTGAGAGGAAAGTTTCTAAATAATCATCATCATCTTAGAACTGCGGTACTGAAAGGGATCCTATGGCTCATCAGTCTCAGCCCCTGTCAAGGAGGCACATGGGGAACCAAGCACCCAACCCCCTAAGTCAAAGAGTACCCTAAATTCAAAATGTGGTGAAGCCCATGGGATAATGTAATACCAATGAATGTGAAGCATAAGATAACATATTCGTTGATACACGCATGTATACAAGCACCTTGGAATGGAGCTACATAAAAATACCAAAAATGGCACTGCATTTACCAACGTTTTGAACAACAAATATAGAAATGTGACTTATCCAAGGAGGATTCCCCTACCATTACAGGAGGAATATTGCCAAAAACCACATTGTGCTGCCTAAGGTAGAATAAGTGGTTAGAATAAGTGCAAACACAGTAATAGGAAAGAATTGTACATCCAAAGAAGTGCCTGGTCTACAGAATTTTAGCCACGAAGTTGTTAATCTGGAAAAATGTCATCTGTTAGCCGGAAGAGAAGAATGAAAGATCCCTGCTGTGTCAGACCAAAAGCTGGTTGTTCTTATTTTACTTCCAGCAGCGGCTGGCCAGACGTCTTCAGGAGGGTGAAAAGCAGAGTAGGAAGGCGTCATCTGTCCCCTTCTGTTTAGCTTCAACACCTAGTATTCAGAAGAACACTGCCTCCAAACCTTAAGGCTCAATTTGGCTATGCTGACTAATAGTCTTTGATAAATATCCCTCTGATGATGTCTTTAATCCTTTTAAAAAGGCCTCCCAGCTAATAGGCACCACTAGATTGATTGGAAGGCAGGTCATAATTTAGTTATTTCCCCTAACATTAATCCTGCATGAAAACATCATTTGCACTTTTATCTTACCTAAGAGAACTAACGAGTACCTTGAGCTGGAGCAAAGCCTGGCAGCCATCAGAGGCAGTGAATTTTGGGTGCCAAGAAACAGTCAGATATTGTTACTTATGTAATTTTTTTTAAATGACAGTCTTTTCACTTTCAGGAATAGAGAGAGATCCTTATAGGACTGTCTGCCTGAGGCGACAAAATAATTTTGGATACTATCTGCCCTACCTCTGGCTGGATAGCTCAGTGGATTAGGTCTCTGGCTGCGGAGCCAGAGATTGGCAGTTCTGTTTCTCCACTGTGCCTCCTGCGATTAGAGCCAGCCTGTGTGCCCTTGGGCAAGCTGCACAGTCCCAGGACAACCCCCCCAAAGAAAAAAATGGTAAACTACTTGTGAGTACTTTCTACCTGAAAAATCCCCAAAAGGGTTGCTATAAGTCACAATTGATTTGACAGCACATGATGATGATGATGATGATGATGATGATGATGATGATGATGATGATGATGATGATCTACCCTAACCTGTGAGACTAGTGGCTGCCATCTCCTGCTTTACCTTAGGCAGCACAATGTCTTCAGCTGTGCATACCTGTATTTCATTTCTGGGAGACCTAGGTTCAATCCGCCTAGGGTGGTCGCAAGACCAGATAGCCGAGATATAAATCAAATAAATCAAATGAATGAATGGATGAATGAATGAATGAATGAATGAATGAATGAATGACAAATTAGTTCTTAAAGTCTCATTAAATGATAATATTTAAGCCCAACTTATAAATAAATAAATAAATAAATCACAGTTACTTGGTGGCCATGGGCAAGCAAAAAGTAAAGTAAAAGTAAATCGAAGCCATTTCACATATTAACCTGAAGAAATGTGGGGATAAAACTGACTACACGTGTATAGAACTGCAGACAAATCCAGCTGCCTTGTGAATATACCCCCATGACGTATAGATCGGCAAGGGCATGCTATCACATTTTTATCTTCCATTGTTATAGTCACTCACATAATCTTTGATGGGCTTGACTTGCAACATGTAGAAAAAGCCGAAATTTGTTACAGCATCTGGTCTGGAAAGATGCACCTGTTATCACCGGTAGGCACATGGCAGAAAGGCTGAATTCTGCATATGTGGTTTCTTTGTTCAGTGGAGGCTAGGGCCTGAAAGAAGTTTCTGTTTGTTTGTGTTCATTTGTTCATTCGTTTAGAATTACATCGCTGTGAATCCACTAGCCCTGCTGGCTCGCAATTCTGGCAGCGGTAGCCCGCCTAAGCTCTGTCACAGCCCCCTCTGGCGAAGAGGCTATCCCTGTTCAACCTCTCCATGCGTCTTGCACACTACTCAAGGGGTGAACCCTGCAGGGACACACTTTTAACTCTGCAGCAAGCTTCAACTCATTTACTCTGGGGTCATTTTAAGAAATAAACAGTCCAACATTTACAAGATTATCTGTATTACAAAGGAGAGAGAGAAAGAAGCTCTTCTTAAAAGGAATGACTTTTTTAAAAAAAAAAAATCTCCTTAACACATCAGGAATCAATTGGAAAAAGGTACCTGTACTTCTGTATCAATTAGTAGTAATAAGCCTAGTCCTTTTCAACATTAAAACAATTTCGTAATTTAGCTTCTAAATTATAACGCTAATGGATCATGGTGTCAGACATCTACAACCCACTGTCCCTTGTGGTTATTCCAACCCTCCCCCCGTTTCTCTAAAATATACCAGCAATCAGTCCACCAATTACATTTTCTATTTTCATTTCTTCAAGTGTCTCTTTCCTTGCCTTCTCGCTCTGTTTCATAACCTGACACAAACACGGGTTGCGCGTCTCTTTCCCTGCCCCCATTGTTTAGAGTCACCAAGCTCTATGATTTCCTTGAGATCTGCCCATGTTTATCCATGCACTCCACTGTCTCTCTCACTCTCCGTTTCTATTAATCCCGAGTTCATCAGTCTTAAATCCCTCGTGCCCTCTGTTCTCTTTATAATGCAGGCAGCTGGAACTTTAGAAAACAACTCATCACTGACTTATCGCTCTTCCTCAGAGACAGATCAAGTGAGACATCAAGATAGAGGACTCAAAATCCTATCCCTTACCTCATGAACATCTGCCATATACCATAGTCGTTTAACATATCCTAAAATCAGAGGAACGTCCCTACGCCTGCTATATGTGATTTGAGGGTTGTGGGATGAGGGAACAGCTGGCCAGCCATATGGGAAGCATGAATGCAGGCAAATCTCTTAAGTGAATCCCTCTGTGAGGATCCCTCCATATCCCTGTGGTGAGAAACACCACTGATATGCTCTTCCCCACTCTTTCTGCTGATAGCAGCACTCTCAGAAACACCAGAGACGTTGTTCGTGAAATGCTCACAGACCACTTCCTCCCTCCTTCGGAAAACATTTCAAAAATAAAGAAAACTAATCACAGACACAGACCTAGTGAGATGGAACTATGAATTTGGGAAGCCCTCCTGAGGGAGTCGAAGCCACACCTCTCCCTCATGCCGGCCTCTGCGAAATTAGCACAATCAAACTTGCCTGCCCTGCCAAGTGTGTGTGTATGGTTAGTTGAGGTAAAACAGGTGTGTGGTAAATGATTTGGACAGCCAGAGAAACACTGCATACAATGCTGCATTTCCCCCACTGAGAAGAATAAGAATGAGAACAAGAGTAAGGACAACCACCCTCACCATTAGTCCTAGGAGGACCGATGGTTCCTTTGCTGATTCCCTGCCCTTAGGTAGACATTGACTTTTCTGTTGTGAAAGAAGAAGAAGAGAGAAGATGGCCAGGCTGGTACCATGGAGGACGAACCAACCCATCTTTATGCCTCTGCTGAGTGGCGCCCTTTGTGCTCCTGAAACTCCACCCATTCCCCCCCCACCAAAGAACAAGAAACTACTTACGAGAAGACCCTCCCTGGATCCACATCAGAGGTCCCAAGAAGGGGAGGAGCCAGTGCAAAATGTGTGTGTGTGCGGGGGGGAGGGAGTTGACATTGGTCCCTGCCTGGTTTCTTACTCACACTCCTTGATTCCTTATTATTCAGTGATTCAGGAGGAGGCAGCGCTGTAGCATAATCCTTCCTCCAACGCAGATAACGCTAACGACCTCAAGAGAGTAGCTCTGTCCCATTCAGGGAACTACCCCCGACCCCGTTATTGGAAATCAAGATCCCCCTGAAACATCCCAAACTGAAGTAAGGAAGGGGGGGAGAGGAAGGGACACGAAAAGAGATGCCTAATTTTTCCTTTTCTCTCCTCCCATTAATCCGCCCACCCGTCTTCACCCACACCGATCGCTAGAAAGCAAAAACTGCGGGGCAGTCTCAAATAAAGACAACGCGCGGGACCCATCCCCACTTACCCCCGGGGGGAAATCAGTGCCGAAGAAGAGGGGCGGATGGCGCTAGTGCTCTTGAAGGCGCCGCGGGACCCTGCGGGAGGATGCCGGAGGCTGATGGCGAGGGAGGAGGCTGCTTTGCACCTGCCGCTCCAGGATCGCAGCGGCTGCCTCCCCGGGAAGTGAAAGGCGGCGGCGGGGGGGGGGGGGGGGGGGGGAGGGGGAGA